GTCAATTAAAAAGGGAGTGGGTGGTGCTGTGGTCTAAACCTCTTGGGCTTTTTGATCAGAAGGTTGGCGGTTTGAATCCGTGCAATGGGTTAGCTCCCGTAACTCTGTCCCAGCTTCTGCCAACCTAGCAGTTCAAAAGCACATCAGTGCAAGTAGATAAATAGGTACCACTGCGGCAGGAAGTTAAACAGCATTTCCATGCGTTCTGGCTTCCGTCACGGTCCTCTGTTAGGCCAGAAACAGTTTAGTCCTGCTGGCCACAATCTGTCTGTGGACAAACACTGGCTTCCTTGGCCTGAAAAGTGAGATGAGATCCACACCCCATAGTTGCTTTTGACTGGACTTAACTGTCCAGGGGTCCTTTACCTTACAGTTGTTAGAGTGTCAAACTTGGAGAGAACTGAGTTCACATTCATACCTAGTCAGAAAGCTCCCTGGCCAGTCTTCCATCAGTCAGTATCACTCACCCAATTCACAGGGTGAATTGTTCAAAAGATAAAGATGAAGGTCAGATGTCCCCAGGTATCAAAAGAATTTGTTTGTCAACACAATTATGGCAGCTTGTATGATATATGCTCAGAAATGGAGGGAGGGAACTGTACCAACGAGGGAGGAGTAGCAGATGAAACTGATGAAGTATGTAGAATTAGCAAACTCAAGAAACAGAATAACAGGAAGAAATAGCATTGCCATATTTCAAAAACTGAAAATCTGGGCATCTTTTGTGAAATCTCAACGGCAACAAAACCGAATAAGTGAGCTTTTGAGCTGCACTACCGAAATGGCAACCTAGGAAGAAAGAGCTTTTAAGGAAGATTGGAAAATGCTTGTAGAACAACTGAAAAATCATTGTAAACAGATCATTTTGTGAATCTAAGTTTGGCCTCTTTGAGGGGCAGTATTTCAATATGAGTAGGAAAAACAGAGTACCCCTAAACATTTTTTTTTTTAGAAAAAAAGTACTGAATAAATTCAGCCCTATAAATTAAGCAGAGATACAATGAGAAAGGGAAATAGAAAAATGTGGAGTAATTAGAATATACAGTAGTAATGGATAATTAAAATGAGCAAGGGAAGTGAAGTATGGTTGTATTGGTTAATGTATGAACATGAAAAAAATTGTAATTGAAAATTATAAATAATTTAAAAAAAGCAAACAAGCAAGCTGAGGATGGGGCAGGGAGGAAGTCATGTGTGCCACCCTGTTTTTATTAGCGCAGTAGTCACCAATGTGGTGCCCATGGGCACACATGTGCACATAGAGGCCTTCCTTAGTGCCCACGGGATCCTCCCTGCCTCTCTCCCTCCCTGTAGCCAATAGAATAGGTTGTGGAATGTGCTTGGCTGCAGTGTGTGTGTGTGTGTGTGTGTGTGTGTGTGTTTATCCATTTTGCGAATGGTCCTGCACACGCTGAAAAGGTTGGCGACCCCTTAAAGAAAGAATGGAATAATAATGCAATAAATATATAATGAATGAGCGGGCTCAGCGCGATTTTGAGAGGTCAAAGAAGAAGGGTAGCTCATTGTTCTCATAGCAAACAGAAGCAGGATAAATGACGTGAACTGAAGAAATTAAGGGCAAGACAAAATGTCAGATTGCTTTACAGCTTGACCGTTCGCGGATTGGCAGCGGGGCAGAGTGAAAAGAAACTGCTGTGTAGTTTGGGATGGTGCGGCAGATATTTCTTAGAAATCCAGGGCTTGCAGACGTAACGGCAGAGGGTAGCTGTGTGTGCGTGCGTGTGTGCGTGTGTGTGCATGTGTGTGTGCATGTGTGTATTTTTTTTCTTTTTACACTTTGAATGAGATTGGGAACCTTAGGCCCAGGGACTGAATGTATCCCTCCTATCTGGTCTTCATGACACTTCCAGCCACACCGCTCACTGACAAAAACAAGTAAAAAAAAAAGGGGGGGAACTACCTTCAAACATTTCATCTGTAAGGTTGTTATGTACTGAGTTAATAGGATCCAAAAGACCGCAGTCTGATTGGTCCTAGAACAATAGGATTCAGAAAGCAGCAGTCTGATTGGTCCTAGAACAATAGGGTCCAGAATGCAGCAGTCTGATTGGTCCACAGGAGCCACCCAATCCAGCTCCAGGTGGAAGTGAATCTGCAACCAGATTGGCCTACAGGTGAATCCCGGAATTAGCCAATCACGTGGGGCCCATTGTGTATATAATATATATAAAGCAGACATTCTGGGGGAACTTCCATTCCTCCTCAAGGTAAACTGCCACCACCCCAAAATGTGTGTGTGTGTGTGTGTGTGTGTGTGTTGGGGAGTATTTTTTTAAATGATGTTTCCACCCATATAGAAAGGAGCTGGTATTCCCTCTCCATTATCACAGGGTGCGGATGCTCCCACAAAAATGAAGAGGGATTGCCACCCTGAGATCCTTTGGGAGGAAGGGCATAATATAAATTTAATAAATAAATATGATTGGCCCAGCACTAAAACAAACACATGTAAAAATTTCTTGAGGAAATGGACTGAATACATGAGATTTTATTGGTACAGAATGTGGATTATGAGGTTACCGTGGGGAAGTATTTACTGCCCAAACACACAAACTGCTGCCTATAAGAAAAGTAAATAGTTAACATTTTTGTACTGAATTTATTGGTTCATTGCACACAGAAGACCCAGTGTATTGCTTCTGGAGACAGATGCTATACAATTGGTGCATGATTATTATGCAGCTAACAGTCAAGCCAGGAAAGCTTAACATGAAACTTTCATCACGCTATTGCCATATGGCAAATATTAGCAGTGACAAATGCAATCATGGGGCCTTAGAATTTCAAACCAGACCTATCTCCCTACAGGCTCACGATAAGAAACACCAGTTTAAATGTACACCAGCTCTATAGATATCCTCACACACTGAAATCCCAATGAAATTGAAGTTATACGTCACTTCTGAAAACTGCCCAACAGCACAATCTGATTATCTGAAGCATATCCACACAGAAGAAAGCCCTATTGGATTCAGTGGGCTTTACTTCCAAGTAGGTGGGGTTAGGACAGCCTTATCTCTTATCTGCCAGTTGCAGTTATGCTACCCTCTCCTCTGTTTTCTTCGCTATTGTCAAAATTGAGATTGCAGGCCCATCAGGGCAGGGACTTTTCTTTCTTGCTAAGCATTATATTAAAGTACAAGCGCCAACCATTTTGCGAGGGGCTTCTGTTCCTGGCCCCTGTGCATGTCAGTGGAGCACGTGTAACCCCACTCTGCCCCATCCTGCCCATCCCCATTCTGTCCTGTTCTACCACCACCCATTCTGCCCCCGTTCTCCCCTCCTTTGGGTCCAAAAGGACATGTGTGTTGGTCTCACATCAATTGGAGGCACACCAAATGGTTGCCACCTGTACCATGTGGTGCAGTGGTACATAAATAATATCAGAAAGCAGAGCCCCTCTGATATATATGTTGATTTAAAGCAGAGTCTGTCGTGCCCAGCGGAAGGATGAGGAAAATGTGTTACATACTCTATATTGCTTTATTTACAGTTCAAAGCTGGTATATTACAGAAAGACATCTTGCCTCTGCAGGAGCAGAAAATGCATCCTCTCTCCTCAACAGCTTGGAGAGAAAACAGAGTGAAAAACAGGAAACCAGTGTACGTCACATCCAGTCTCCCTTTCCCGTGAGAAACTCCAACAGTACAGTCTGTGGAATGTAAACACCTGTCTCATGACAGCAGTTGCTGCACAGTGAAGGAAAGCAGAAACCAACATCCTCCCCCTTTCTGTGAACATCACTGGGCAGCGTGTTTGCACAATATCAGTACAAACCCAACTTCTGCACATAGGTACAGTGTTGATCCCTCGATACAATCTTGGACAATACATCAGCAGGAATTTCATTACCTGGCATATAGGACACCGTTACGAGTCCCTTCTGAATACATTCCCTAGCATGCTGCAACTTTAATTGTAAGTGCTTTGTGCTTTGCTTACAACCTTCAGACTTTAGCAAAGCCAAACATGCTTTGTTGTCCTGGTAAACCTGGATTGGACATTTGACAGGAATTTTCATATCTTTGCACAATTGTACTAACCATTCACAATCCTTAAGTGAATAAGACAGTGCATTCAGTTCAGCTTCACAAGTACTTAAGCTAACTGTTGTTTGCTTCTTGCATGACCAATCAAACAGACTCTGATTGTACATATAGCAAACTCCAGACGTACTTTTCCTGTCTGTAGCGTCACTTCCAAAACTTGCATCTGCAAATATCTCAAGACCACCAGACTTCTGATTGTTAAATCTCAGTCTGTAATGCATAGTGCCTTTCAAATACCGCGCTATGCGTTTCAGAGCTTTCCAATCCTTGACACTAGGATTGTTGACTTGTCTGCTTAGCAAATTACAGCTAACAGCAATGTCTGGTCTTGAACATCTGGCAATGAAGTTTAGCTTGCCTAGCACACTCCTGTACAGTGTAGTGTCAGAAAATGCTTCTTCAGTGTCATCTAGCTGATAACCTGTTGTCATCGGTGTGTCTACAGGGTTAGCATCCATCAGATTTAGTTTGCTTAACACATCAGCAATTTTCCGTGACTGGTGTACTAGAATGTTACCATCTTGATCTCTCTCTATTTCCAGAGATAGGTAGTTGTTTACCTCACCAAGATCTTTCATGTCAAAGTGCTCTTTCAGTTGAGCTAGGGCGCTATTGTACATTGCAACATCTTTCCAAAAGAATAATAAATCATCAACATAAAACAAACAGTACAGTTTCTTTTGCCCTCCTCTTTGACAAATACACATGGATCAGCTTTCCCTTGCTGAAAACCTAGAGAAAACAATACTTCAGTGAGTTTTGTGTGCCAACACCGTGCACTTTGTTTGAGACCATAAAGGGATTTCTTCAGAGCACAAACAAATCCCTGTTTTACCTGTACGCCATCAGGTGGAAGCATATAAAGTGATTCATCTAGAGATCCGTACAGAAAAGCTGTATTAATATCATGGTGACTAATGTGTAGATTTTCCTCTGCAGCTAGCTTGAGCATAAGCCTAATGCTTCATATCTCACTGTGGGTGAATAGGTCTCGTGATAGTCTTCACCTGGTACCTGTGCAAAACCTCTGGCTACCAATCTGGCTTTGTGTCTGACTATCTTGCCATTTTGATCTGTCTTCGCTTTGAAGACCCATTTGCTTCCAAGCAGTTTCATTCCTGGAACTACTGGAACTAGCTCCCATGTTTTGTTCCTTTCTAAGGAATCAAGCTCAGCCTTCATGGCATTTAACCATGGCTCAGCTTCCTTTGAATCCAAACCCTGGATTTCTTGGAAACTTGAAGGTTCAAATACCTTCTTGGAGCTTTTAACAGCTGTTACTGCTATCTTAGCAAACTCATCAGCAAATCTCTTTGGAGGTTTGCCTTTGTGGCTCTCTGTGACCTACGAATTAGCCTTAAGTCTTCAACACTCTCCTTTTCCTTCTTAGGAGAAAAACGACCTATTGTGAACAATGGTTCCTCCAATTCTTGATCAGAGCTTTCAGAGGGTCGCATAGAGGCTTTCGCACTCTTGAAATCCTCTGAATCACCCGATTCAGTTTCAGATTCAGACTCAGAACCTTCATCAGTGGGTGTGGGCTGTTGTGGTTGCTTTTGACTATCCTCAGTCTCATCACCGTCATCAGGATAACATTGGAAAATTCCCACATTCTCCCCCACTTTGCATTGTACTCAACACTTCTCGTGAGCTTAATTGTCTTAGAGTCAGTCATCATTATTCTGTAAGACCCTTTCTGATAACCTAGAAAGATACCATGCAATCCACGCTTGTCTAACTTGGAGTTTTGTGGTGAGCGAACCCACATGTCAGAACCAAAATCTTCATGTGTTTGATGTATGGTTTCTTGCCAAACATCTTCTCATAGGGGGTACAACCAATCGCTGAAGATAGCCTGCGATTGTAACTGTAAACAAAACACGAGAGAGATTCGGCCCAATAACTCTCTGGAAGATTGGCATCATGCAGCAAGGTTTTTAACCCTTGAAGCAATGTCTGATTTGCCTGCTCCGCAAGTCCATTCTGCCATGGCGAGCGAGGACTAGACAAATCGTGTTGAATTCCTTTCTCAGTCAGAAAAGCTTCAAACTGCTGAGAAGTGAATTCCCCGCGATCACTGAAAAGAGTCTTTATCTTCTTACCATGCACATTTTCCAACCAAGCACAGAATTCCTTGAACCTAGGAAAAGCCTCTGATTTCTGCTTGAGATTGTACACAAAAATATATCTAGAAAATGCATCAATGAGAACCATGAAGTACCTATTTCCACCCAAAGAGGGCGCAAGTGGTCCAACCAAATCAGCATGAACAACCTGGTATGGTTCTGTAGCTTTCCTACTAGACACCTTACCTTCGCAGCCATTTTCACCTTGTTTGCTGCGCATGCTTTGCACTTCATGTGGTACCTGCAGGGTTTAATAGTCATACCTTCAACCAAGGCAGGCATTTTAGATACTGCCTCAAAATGCAAATGACCAAATTTTCGATGAAAATCGTGAATACATTCTGCATGCAAACTTTTGTTAGAACCTGCAATGCAACAAGTGTCATCCTGCACCACATCATCATAATACAAAACAAACAAATGATCAACATATTCTGCATGCAATACATAATCATTTTTCTTTGTGATGATGCACTTCTTGTTCTTGAAGGAAACGTCAATGTTCCGCTCATTCAGCTGTCCAACGCTGAGCAGATTATGTTTGGCGTCTGGCACGTAAAGCACATTCTGTATCGATAAGTCCAAACTGTGAAGAACAACAGTTCCGTAGCCTTTACTGGGAATAGTGTGGTCATCCGCCTGGTGAATCGCACCTTCCTGCGGTGTAAAAGACACAAACAGTTTCTTATCGTTGCACATGTGGTGGGTGGCCGCTGAATCAACAACGAAGAAAGATCTAGACGTCTTCTGGACCTCTGCAACCTTTGGAGTGAAGCGTGAAACCATAGCCTTGTGCTGCGTTGTCCTAGACACCGGACCTTTGCCTTTGCCTCGGCCTTTTCCGCGCGATGAGCTTCGCTGCGCTGCTCTGTCTTGGCCCTGGGATGTCTGCATTCCCTCTTCATATGGCCTAGACGTCCACACGAGTAGCATTTCACTGCCTTCAAAGCTTTGGCGCCATCTGGTGGTTCCACTGCACTATGGGATGACGTCTGTGATGACTCCCCCTTGCCCATGCAGCTAGCACCAGCACCCCGGCGATCTGCTTCATTTAAAATCACGGCAGTAACAAAGTCCACTGTCAGCTGAGCAGTTGGTTGCACAGCAATCTGGGTTGCAACAGACTCCCAACCTGAACCCAAAGATTGTAGTATCATGAAAGAATACACAGCCTCTGGAAAGTTGAGTCCTCTCTGTTGCAGCTCATGTCTCAGATTTTGCATCTGCATCAGATGTAAACGCACATCTCCACCTTCAGCAAGAGCCATATTGTGCAGCTTGTTGAAGTAAAACATAGTTGATCCAGCTTCTGTCCTTAAGTGAGCCTCTCTCAGAGCGTCCCAAATTTCTCTGGCTGAGGTCTTATCACGCAATAGACAGAGCTCTTCTGGGGATACTATCAATGTAAGAGTTCCCTTGCTTTGGAATCCTTAGCTTCCCATGCATCTGTAACTGGAACTGGGGGTTCCTGTAATCACCTCAAACAAACCCTCTTCCGCAGAATTGCCTCTGCATACTGAACCCAGTCGCTGTAATTTTTCTTGTTGAGCTTAGGAATCCCACAAGCATCCTGAAGGGCCATCATGACTCTGGCATTAGCCTTCAGCGTCATATTCTGCTTTAAATCTTGCTGCGTCACTGCTGCAGCTGCCTTATCACAAAGGCACACTTAAAAGTTACTTTCGATTTCCCCAGCATAGTGACTTGTGCCTGGGAGCCTTTTGCCTATTTGCAAAACCGGCTTTAAAAGTTCAAAGTCCAGCCATAAAGCCATTATCTTGAAGCTGGCAGGCTGCCCGGAGCAGTAGCACATACCTCATCAATCACTTCTACGCGCAGAGCAGATTCCGTTCCGATCCGTCCCTCTGCATTCCGATCTGCCGGCACTCCGATTCGACCTCTGGAGTCCATAACCACGTGTTGATTTAAAGCAGAGTCTGTCGTGCCCAGCGGAAGGATGAGGAAAATGTGTTACATACTCTATATTGCTTTATTTACAGTTCAAAGCTGGTATATTACAGAAAGACATCTTGCCTCTGCAGGAGCAGAAAATGCATCCTCTCTCCTCAACAGCTTGGAGAGAAAAAAACACACAGAGAAAAACAGGAAACCAGTGTACGTCACATCCAGTCTCCCTTTCCCGTGAGAAACTCCAACAGTACAGTCTGTGGAATGTAAACACCTGTCTCATGACAGCAGTTGCTGCACAGTGAAGGAAAGCAGAAACCAACAATATAGGGCTGTAATGTAGGGATGCAATCATGACAAAGAGGCGGTATTTTTTTTTTAAGTTTTTTATTAGGAATTTAAACAAAACATATTACAGTGGTACCTCGGGTTACATACGCTTCAGGTTACGTACGCTTCAGGTTACATACTCCGCTAACACAGAAATAGTGCTTCAGGTTAAGAACTTTGCTTCAGGATGAGAACAGAAATCATGCGCCGGTGGCTTGGTGGCAGCGGGAGGCCCCATTAGCTAAAGTGGTGCTTCAGGTTAAGAACAGTTTCAGGTTAAGTACGGACCTCCGGAATGAATTAAGTACTTAACCTGAGGTACCACTGTATCTTAAAACAAATCATCCTTAATTCCCCCCCCCCCATATTTCCCCCTCCCTCCCATAAAGCAGCCCACCCTCCCCACCCCCACCCCGGACTTCCCTCAGTTCCAGTTTCTCTATAAATGCCACTCTCTGCATGTCACAAATTTGTATAGATCCTTAATTTATCTGACTAGTTGTTATCAATTAAAAGTTTGTGAGTGTTTATTCAAAACCTGCCAAGGAGTCCAATTCACTTTGTTTCATCTTAAATACTTTGTAAAAGGTTCCCATTCATCTTTAAAATCACAGTTATCCTTGTCCCATAGTTTATGTGTCAATTTTATGACAAGGAGGCGGTATTAATGTCTCCAGATCTACTCCTTGATTTTCCAGAGTTCCAAAACACAATGCTATACCCTCCAACATTTCTCCCATGAAAATAGGGGTGTCCTATTCAACAACAACAATTATTATATTCAACAACAACAATTATTATAACAACAATTATTTTTGTACGCCACCCATTCAACATTAAAAAACATCCCTATACAGGACTGCCTTCAGCTGTCTTCTAAAGGTGTCTATTTACTTATCTCCTTGGCTTGGGGGGGTCGCATAACTCCATACCCTCCAACATTTCCCCCCATGAAAATAGAGACAGCCTACCATACCTTCCATCATTTCTCCGATGAAAATAGGGGCATCCTAAGGAAAAGCAGGACATTCTGGGATCAAATCAGAAAGTGGGACAGCTTCTGTAAATCCCAAACTGTCCCTGGAAAATAGGGACACTTGGAGGTTCTGCAACGCTTTAATATGGTTCGTGACAATTGAAATGCGGTCATTTTATAATGTGTTTAAAATTGTATGTTTTGGGGGGAGGATTTTTAAAGCCTTTTCCTTTTAGAAGAGAACAGTTGTTGGATTAATGCAGAATTAGAAAGGGGTATATTTATGAAAGAGCAGAGACATCACCTTGCCAACAAAGGTCCGTATAGTTAAAGGTATGGTTTTCCCGGTAGTGATGTATGGAAGTGAAAGTTGGACCATAAAGAAGGCTGATCGCCAGAGAATTGATGCTTTTGAATTATGGTGCTGGAGGAGACTCTTGAGAGTCCCATGGACTGCAAGAAGATCAAACCTATCCATTCTTAAGAAAATTAGCCCTGAGTGCTCACTGGAAGGACAGATCCTGAAGCTGAGGCTCCAATACTTTGGCCACCTCATGAGAAGAGAAGATTCCCTGGAAAAGAACCTGATGTTGGGAAAGATGGAGGGCACAAAGAGAAGGGGACGACAGAGGATGAGATGGTTGGATAGTGTTCTCGAAGCTACCAGCATGAGTTTGACCAAACTGCAGGAGGCAGTGAAAGACAGGAGTGCCTGGCATGCTCTGGTGCATGGGGTCATGAAGAGTCAGACACGACTAAATGACTAAACAACAACAAAGATGATAATGTGAAAGTTATATGGACCATTTCCATCCCTTGTGAAGAAGCCACTCCAGCCACGAAGAACATATGAAGAAGCCCTTCTGGTCCATCA